CGCCTCCATGGGGGAAGGGGATGCAGAGATGCTCCCTGCCACGTTTGCCACTGCGATATTAGTGAAGGGGTTCCCCCACCGCCCCGGGGTGCCCCTCACCAGCCCTGGCACTCAGCCTTCCTTCCTGCCATCAAATTCGTTTTTCCTTTGTTGAATTCCACAGAATAAAAGGAACTCATGCCTTCCTCTTTTGGGGCCCACCTTCCCACTCGCTCCCTAACCCCTGCCGCCATCACTCCCTTTGTATCCCTCCTCATTCCCTAACTCCCCTTCCTGAGGTGGTAAGAAAGCCAAACCTCAGAAGAGGGCAAATGAGTCAAAGGTGGCCCTGAACCCAGGGATGCCGTACCATGCCGCTTGCTGATTAAAAATCTCAAACCAGAGCCCCCCCCACGCACCTCTCTTCCCCTAGGCCGGAAGGCCCTAGCTGATAAAAAACATGTCCAGTCACAGCATATTCAGGACATGGCCCGGAGACTTGAGGGTACAGCATTTCCAAGGTCAGCCCACTGGCTTCAGAGACCTTGCTCCACCAGCTCCAGAAATGGGTGGGGTGGGGGTGGGGGTGGGTGGAAGAAGGATGTGTCTGCTGTCTCCTGAGGTTCCAGTGCCAAACAAACCAGAAGACACCCCTGTGGGTGGCTGGCCTTCCCTGGGCTGGGCCCTCCAACACTGACAGGACCCTCCCCAAATTCGAGCATCACAAATACTAACACCAGCACAGAAATTCACCCTTTCCTCCAGGAAACCTTCCAGAACTGCCTTTATGTCCAAAAACTACTCCTACTCATGGATAACCACAGTAAGCCCACCTGAGGTACAGAGATGCCCAGACAGAACGAGGAGCTCCTCTCAGAGCAGAGCTGGATCAGGTAAAAGTGAGCCCAAGGGGTAGGGGCCGAGCAGCAGAGGCCCTAGCTCAGCCTGGGAAAGGGGACATGTTTAGGACAACGGCTCTATTGCCATTATTATAGGCAAAAAGCTCCAATAGAGGTACCAAAGCTCAGAAACCGAGGGCAGCAGAAGCTGGGTGGTTCATGGTTTTGAACTGCTGACCTTGCAGTTAGCAGCCCAAGAGTAAGGTAAAGCCGCCACCAGCACCCCTGTTGGTCATTTCACGGAGGGCCACAAGTCCCATGCTAAGGAGTTCTGGTCGTAAGAGCAGTCCTCAAGGCTATTAAAGATGGACTTCAGAGTACTTGGGGTCACCCAAATCCTTCATCCCAGCAGCCTGGCAGCCCTCAGTGTTCCAAAGGGGCCCTTCATTCAGGGTCAAGTCAAGGCCCAGCCCCCAGCCTCCCACTTTTGGAGGGTAGCCAGTTAAAGCAGGGGTTGGGAAACTCAGGCCCGTAGCTGGTGGTTCCTTTGCACAGTCTAAGAATGGTTTTTGGTATTTTTAAGTAGTTGTTGAAAATCAAAAGAATATTCTTGACACATGAACATTGTAAGAGATCCATATCTCTGTCCATAAAGTGTTTTTTTTGAAACACAATGTATGAGCTGTATTGTCTCCTTCAAAAATATGTCTTGGACTCCAAACCCCTTTTATCTATGGACATAATCTTAATAAGACTATATCATTGAAGGGTATGTCTTAAATGTAATAACTTTTGAGAGGCACAGAGATCAGGCATATACGTTTGTATAATTTCCTTCTCGCCCAGTATTTTAAATTCCATCCCAATGGCTAAATTAATGACATTGTCAATAGAATTACTTTATGTCCCAGGGGGATGAGATAGAATGTTCTCTAATATGAAAGTAATTAAATATTAAAATACTAATCATAAATTCATATCTCAGGTGAACCAGAGATACATATAAACTATAGATATGTGAATGGGTTTGGAGACTTCACTTAATTCTATCCCCAGTCTCAGAACAGTTAGTATTGATGATGTGGCCCTACTCGATGCTCACCGTCATGGAGAGACATGGGAAGCAGCTGTGCTCACCCCTATGCCACCACCTCGGATCACGGAGAGATCATTGAAGACACGGTGCTGAAGAAACCAGGTGGGGCCTGGCTTTCAGAAAGAATAGCTTCTGGGATCTTGTCTTAAAACAAGCAGCCACCCAAATGGGAAATCCACTAAGTCGACATGGAAGAGACACACCGGCCTGTGTGATCCAAAGATTCTAAAGAATAAACTCCAAAATCCGGAGGAAGGGATGGTACTAGCGTAAGTTATGAGGACCTGGTTTGCAGAAGGCTATGGATGATAGTGGAACCCTAAACTCTATGTCCAGGGTCCCACATGGAATAAGCCTACAATGTATCCCTGCTGAACA